AAACAATAAACAACTTTTTAGAACAATATAAAACTGATTTAAAACATTGTGTTTTAAAATACTTGCCATCCTTAAGATTAGCAATCAATTTAAAAACTACCTGCTTTAGACTATCTCTAAAATTGGATAAATTACAAACTCCATTGCATTGCATAATGCAGCATAATGCATTATGCAATCATGATGTTCTACCAAAATCAAGAAGCAAGATTCATACACAATCTTTCTTATCTCTAGACAGAAGTTTACTATTTTTATGATATTTTCAAACCTCATACGTATCTCATACGTATCTCATACGTATTAGTTAGCCTGCTTTATACAGGTACGTACGTACGAAATCACTAACTGATGTACATATCACTTAGTATTACATATGATATAAATATTATTTATTTCCCGAGTCGGCGGGATAATGAAATATTTCCCCAGCGGCATATGTGGGGCGCTTTGCGCCACATAAGTGCGCCGCTGGGGGAATGTTTCAATTATTTCACCGACCAGTGGAATCAGAGAATTTGAAATTCCAATTAGTAAAAATTAAGGAACCGATTGGAGCGGGTCTTGAAAATTTTGGAAATTTTGGAAATCTTGGCAATCTTGGCGAATTTCCCGTAATATGATGATCTGCCCATTCCACATCTTTTTGAAAACAGCTATAATAACACGAAAATCCCCGTATAGTGAGACGGGAATAAAAAAAATAATATTTTATTAATAGTAATTTCTATGTGCACTTTGAAATTCTGCTACATTACATTATGCGACATTATGTTTTGCATAATGTAATGCACATAATGCAGTAATGCAGAATGTCGAGGATCGTCGCTCTTAACCAAAAAAAGTTATTTTATTGTCCGAAGCGTAGCGAGAACTCTATTGTTTGAGTAAACTTGAATGATTTGACGGGACCCGTGATGATCTACAGTCAGTGCTACTATAAAAGCACCAGCGTAACCAACAATCGAGGGCGCAGTCACATGATGTTCCGATCAATCATGTGATCGACGAACAAAAAATTTATTTTTAATACTGTAATAGTGATAGTGCATACCGCGATAATAATTTATTTTTTATTGTAATTACATTATAAGCAAACTAAAACTATGATAGAAAGTAATTTCGAAACTATTTTTTATACAAATTTCTAGCCATAATATTGATTCTGTAATAGTGATAGTGCATACCGCGATAATAATTTATTTTTTATTGTAATTACATTATAAGCAAAAAAAAACTATGAAATTGAAAGTAATATCGAAACTATTTTTTATACAAAGTTTTAGCCATAAAATTGTGTATTTATATTGTTATCTTTCCACGTTCGTGGTAATGTACGTCTTCTTTCATGCTGCAAAATGTCTTCAACGAATTTTTCAAGAGAAGTTAATTTTTCTTCCATATTATCAAAAAACCGTTGCCGATTATGAAGAACCTTTGATTCATCAAGAATGCGTTGTGCCTAAGATCAATATAAGTACTATTAATTACAGAATTAAAATATAACATTAAATAAATTATTAAAATATACCTCGCTTAGAACATGACACAATCGAATATGTTTTTGTTCGATTATATCCACAGACTTATCCATTGTTTCATTTTCATCACTTGTCAAAGAAATTTCATTAATGCTTGAAATAGAATTATCAATTGGTGTTTCATAGTTATTTTTTTCAAGATTACAATATGTTCTTATTTCATTCCAAGGATTGTTTGGTGATACTGAGATTAGAGGATATGTTGAATTGCGATGGATTT